GGACCCCAAACATCAGAGTGAATTAAATCAAATAGAGAAATACTCTTTTTATTACTAATAGGATAAGATGCACGATGGTGTTTTTACAATTGACAAATATCACAATTAAAAGACTCAACAAACTCCTTGGTAAACAAATGGGGAAACAAGGACTTGATAAGACTAAATGAAGGATCCCAAGCCTTTGATGATGTAACCATATTTGAGATTTTGCCCACGTCTCAGATGTAGCTTGTTGACTCATGATTTGTGTGTTGCTTTGGTCATCAAACTCTAAAAAATACAACCCACTTTGCTCCTTAGCAGTTAAAATCGTCTTCCCCGTGGCAAGGTCCTGAAAAACACAATAAGTTGGAAAAAATATTACTGAACAATTTAAATCCTTTGTGAGTTTTTGCACAGAGATAAGACTATTAACTAATTAAGGAACATGTAAAACATCCTTCAATATAATAGATGAGTCCAAAAATATATTCCCAGAGCCGCAAACAGGTATACCTTGACCATTTGCAACTGTAATAAGTTGTTCTTTATTGCTTTTTCCATATGAGTTCAAATACCCACTAAAAGGTGTCATATGATCAGTTGCACCCGAATCAAGGATCCAAATACCTTGAGACACATGACCAACAGTATTGAGACAAATCTTACCTTTTATGGACAGAGTACATGATCTATAGGGCTTACTCATTGATTCAACTATTGCTTCCAAGCGCTCTATTTTCTCCTTATAAGCTTTCATATCAAGATCTGGTAGTAGTGGTGGATTAGACTGGGAAGGACTAGATTGATTGGTGGCTTCCCGTTCTAAGGTAGTATGATTTACCCATCTTTGAGTAGGCCCTTTGTTGTTTCCCATGCGCTCAAGAACATTCTTTCTTCCATGGAGTTTGAAGCATGTTTCCTTGGTATGTCCAAATCTTTTACAGTATGAACAATAATCCCCATGAGTACCTCTTTCAAACGTCTTTCCCCCAGCATTTGTTCCCTTGTGGACTTCCTTTCTAATTGTCATGGCAGAGCCTGTGTTGGAGATCCCTCCATGAAGCATGACAATTCTCCGAGTTTTTTCTCCTCTTACCATAAAAAAAACTTCTGACAGGGGTGGTAATTTTTCTCTTCCAAAAATTTGAACCCGGATTGGGTCGTACTCAAGATTCAGGCCCTGAAGAAATTTAAAGATTTTTTTCCCCTTCAATGAATTCAGCTAGAGTGACAGCATCTGTTTTACACATCTTTATTGTTTGGATATGATCGAGTTCCATCCAAAGACCATTCAGGATTTCGTGATATTCTGATATGGAAAGGGAGCTTTGTTTTGTATTAAATATCCTGTTATTGATGTCATAGTAAGCACCAAGATCCTTTTTTAAAGAAAAAGTACTCTGTAAATCATCCCATATTTCTTTTGCACAAGAATGAAACATGTAATTGTCCTTATCTCAAGAATCATGGATTGCCACATCCAAGTCATAATTAATGAATCTTCCTTGTCCCAAATTGAAAAGTGAGGACGTCTGGTCCTGGTCCTCCTCCATCTTTGTGATCAAGTTTTGAACGACCCTCGAGAATCCTTAGAATAAATTGGCTCCATTGTAACTAATTCTGACCATCCAACCAAGAGGTACTTCCTATATTTGGTAGGTCATTAGGTACCCCCAAAGGAATACTTTTTTCTTCAGACATCCCGTACCGAAGAAACAAAAGAGCAAAAAATTTCAAACTCAGATCTACTCAAATAAAGGCCAAACGGGTCGTCACCAATCCTAAAAATAGACTCAGGAGGCTCTAGCGGCTCTTATGTGGCGGCGACGGCGAGTGGGTCACACCGAGAAAAAAAGAGCAAAACTTAAAACTTAGATCTACTCAAATACAGCCAAAATGAGTCGTCACCAACCCTAGGAATAGACTCAGGGGGCTCCAGCGACCTTGTATGTGGCGGCGATGACGAGTGGGTCTCGCCGGAGGTGGGCGCGTGGGTTACACGTGCCGGCGACAATGGCGGCGCGTGGCAGCTCCTCTCACGGAGCAACTTCCAGCGTTGTGATCGCCGATGTTGTGCGCACCTTTCTGCCCTATCAACAAGCCCAACCGGCAACGGCGATAACGGCGGTGGTCAAACAGCAATGACGGTGCGACTTGTTGCAGCGGAATCGAGCCCCAAGATCAGGAGCTCTGACACCAAGTTGAAAATAAGACTTATTTTATTATTCTCAATCATAAAAAATACATTCTCATATCCTCTATTTGTAATAATCTAGTTCTCCTAAAAAGGGAAATAGGAAAACTAGGAAAAATAAAATAAAATAAAAGATTATGTATCTATTTCCTCTAATTAGGAAGATTCTAAAGATATTATCTCAAATTACATCAGATATTGTAATAAAAACTTTTAATTAAAGTTTTAAATTTTATAAATTTGATATTTTTATTTAGTTTTTATTACTTTTTCTATTTAGAATTCTTTTTTTTTTCAATCAAATCTTTAGCATTTAATTTTTTTCATTTTTGGATGATATTTTTCTTACATTAGTAAAAAAATTGCTTTTTAACTCGCCTATAGGCTTCGGTTTAGGAAAAACTGAAGTCTATCAAAACACGGTGGCTTTTTTGTAGTTTAGGCGAACTTATATGTCTCGTTTTAAGAGGACCCGAAACATATAAGTAATATTACCTCGGTTGATAGCAAAACCGATGCCTAAAAGTCTACCTTTTCGCTTGACAGGTCTGAAATTTTAAGTCTGCACAGAGCTTATGGCTTCGGTTCATTCAGAACCGGTGCGAAACCATGTTTATGCCTCGGTTTAGGAGGGAACCGAGGCGTATAGCCATTTCATTTTTTTTTTAATTTTTTTCTAAGGACTATAGGCCTCAAAGTGGAGAGTAGAACCGAGGTAGTATTCAAAAAAAATAACCTACATGTTTCATTTCCCCTATTCCAGTACGTTTCACTCTTCCCTCATTCCCTCCCTCCTCTCTTGCAACCCCTCCCATTCTCCACTCCCTTCTCCCTCAACTCCACCATTCCCTCACCAACCTCTTCTTCATGACGAAGAGAGAGCTCGCGACAGTGCGGCGAGGGGAGACAGCTCGCGACGGTGCGGCGAGGCGAGGCAGCTCGCGACGGTGCGGCGAGGCGAGGCAGCTCGCGACAGTGCGGCAAGGCGAGACAGCTCGCGACAGTGCGGCAAGAGAGTCCGCGACAGTGCGACGAGAGCCTGTGACGGTGCGACGAGAGCCCGCGATGGTGCGGCGAGACAGCCCGCGACGGTGCAACGAGAGCCCGCGATGGCAGCTGCGATGGCGGTTGCGATGGCAGAAACCCTTTTCTCATGGAACAACGAAGAGGCGGCGACGACAAGGATGCGGCGGCGGCGACATGGTGGCGGTTAGGCGCTGGATCTGCGGTTTTGATTTTTGGTTTTTGGTTCTGTTTCTTTGCAGGTGGACGGCGAAATGGATCTCTGATTTTGGCTTTTGGTTTGGATCTTTGATTTTGGTTTTTGGTTTGGATACTGTTTCTCTGATTTTTGGTTTTTGGTTTGGATAGTGTTTCTCTAAAGCTTTTGATTGCTTGCTCCGTTAGGGAATAAAGCCTCCTCCTCCTTTCTTCCACCTCCATTATCGTCTCCTCCGTTTGCTCTCTCCCCTATTTCCCCCTTCTTAGATTGGAGCAATCATCTAAGTTTGTCAAAGTAATTTTGCCCCCAAAAACATAGATGAAAAAAATTGCAGATAAGGTTGAGATTAAAAAAGACAAAGAAGTTTAAGGCACAAAGATAATAGGAAAACATAACAGAACGACAAACCAACACTGATCTCGGTTGAAAATAAAAAAATTAAAAAACACTACTGCCTCGGTTGTCTGTGAACAGAGGCAGAATCTGAACCCTTTTGATTTGGTTCAGAACCGAGGCAAAAAGCCTACCCTTTTTACCTCGTCTGTATATGCCTCGGTCGCGGAACTGGTGTCTATAAGTGAAAATAACCGAGGCCGTTTATCTTGATTGCACTAGTATTATCTTATTTCGTTGCTTAATTTATTTTACTATTAAAAATATATATTTTTGTGATTGTAACATTCCAAAATATAGTGATTAACCAAATTATAGTCGTCACATAGTTAATAAAATAGAACAATTATCGACTATAATATAAAGTATAAATTTACAGTTATCCAAAAACAACTATAAATTTTAACTTTAAAAACAAACTAGATACAATATGTACAATTCTAATCTAAAGAAATCTAAGCTTCAACATTTCCACCATCCAATGTTTGCTCTAGAGATACCTCATCTCCCTCTGCTCACACCCACAAGATGATTATTGCAAAGAAAAGAACATAGCAACAAACCACATAAAAGTACAAACAAAAGAAGAAGACTCAATTAAGACCGTTTTCAAAACGAGGACCCACTTGATATTTCGCTACAAATGCGAAGATCATCCAAAGGTTTAAACCTATAAATTATTGTAATAGAAATTTATATGTTTTTCTTGACTTAATTGTTATACAATATCAAGATCATGATGTATCCTATAATAGTTAAATACTATGAAAAATTGAGATATTTCACTAATAATCAACTAATATCATTTTATATAAACAAAATCTTTATCAAATATTTTGTTAATAAAAAGATAAGAAAATATGTGTAATTTTATATTAATTATAAAATCCTATTATAATCAAACAAGTGGACAAACATTATAAAAAAATTAAAATTAAAAAATATATATATACAAATTTTAAATACTCACACAAAAATTGAATGAACACTTAAACGAAAATAAAGTATTTGTTTAAATATTTTAAATTAAAAAGAATTAAGATAAATTAATACATGAAATAAAAAGAAAAAGGCCTAATAATTTCCCGAAAGCCCAGTCAAGTCAACCGTGGTAGCCACATGTCGTTGCGCAATTGGGCTATTAGAAAAGAGGTGCGAGAATAGCATTGTCCTCCCTCACGCTTATAAATAAGAGGTGGCAGATCTCGTTTCTCTTCTCTCGCTATTGCCTCCAGATCTTTTCACACACATTACAAATACCTTTCACTCTCTCTTTCTCTCTCTTCCTCACATTCTCTGGACATACAAACTCTCTCTCTCTCTCTCTCTCTTCAAATCAAAACCTATCACAACATACAAATCCCAAATCCTCTGTCTATATAGCTTCCTTTTCTCATATAAAAGAACTCTTCTTTCGAATCCTTCCCGCTCCCTCTACACCTTTTCACTCTTTTCCCTCTCGATTCGCTCCACGCGCACATCACAACCCTAATTTCTTTCTTATAGGTCTGATTTCACATGCAAATCCCCAATTTTTCTTTTTTCTCAAACTAATTTTATGACAAAAAGAGGGGTTCGTTGAATCGGGTGAAAATCTTTGATTAACTGTTTGGGCTTGTCTTAATTTCGAGATCTGGGTTCTTTGTCTTTTTGGTTTTTAATCTTTAAAGGGTTTTCCTTTTCTTTTGTTAGAGTTGAAAAAGAACGTAGTGAACTTTTGTTTGGTACTGATTGGTGTTGAACGTGGTGGGTTGTTTGTGTTTTTTTTTTTGGTTGCTGGCAGCTCTGCGTTTGGGTTATTAAATTAGGGTTTGATGGCTGACCAAGGATTGGAAGGGAGCCAGCCGGTGGATCTACAGAAGCATCCTTCTGGGATCGTGCCTACCCTTCAGTGAGTATCCGTTGTTTTATTTTCAACAAATTACATCGTTCTCCTATTCGTTTGGCAATTGCAAGCTTCGGATGGCTGGATTTTAAGTTTTAATTTGTGGGTTTAGCCCCCTTTTTTTCATAATAATAAGTGACTTTTTATGTGTTGCTAGTAATAGCTATCCAGTAAGTCAACCCCTATGTCTTTGTATCTTCTTAACACTATTGTGTTGCTAGGGAATTCAGCTTGTAAATATTGATGTAAATCCTTTTGAGTGATGATGTAACTGTAGCTGGTATTGTTGGGATCGCTTTGTGGTAAAACATGGTGCAAAGGAAATGGTGATTATACCTTTAGTTTACATTCAATATTGATATCTAACTAGTGATGACTGTGGGAGACTTTATGGTGTCCTAATCAGGGATAGGCATATGCTTCTTGGTGGTAGGTTTCGATTTACTGACATTGCGGACAATTGTGAACATAAGAAGTCGATATGGCCACAGACAGTATAACAGATAGACCATAAACATTGACATCAAGGTTGAAATTACAGCTGTGGACTTGATAGTTATTTAAAACTCTGCTAAATGTTAAAAACACCAATAATTTTTACAATTTGCGATATTTAATCAGTACAACGGGCAAGAAGATACAACTTTTAATTCCCAAATTTTCTACTTAAGTTCATCCTAAGCCTGGGTATTGGTAACCACCATGAAGCAACGCAAACATAGGATTGCAGGGTTTCAGTTAACACCTTACGACAGTTTCCAAAGCATGCATTTATTCCTTATACTCGTATTGCCGAAACTTGTTTTTTATGTTGCTTGAGTTATGGTGTTTATGTTAAACCATTTTAATTTGAGGTCGTGCCTAACAAGATGGCAAATCATATTGGCCACTTTCAATCTCCTATGTCCTTTTTCTGGATGGATTTCTCTGGGGACGAAAGCATGTTATTGTGCAGAGTTGATTCTTGTCTTTTTACCAACCTGTTTTCTTGTGTAATCCCTGACCTATCTGTCATTCGCTCACCAAATTTGCCACTTTTGATAATAAAATTTGCTTTTGTTTTTGTTGGAATGTATAATAATTTTGCTTCTGTTCACATGGGAATGTTAGGGATTGTGCTTGAATTTACATTGTATTATTTAATAATTTTTGCTTCTGTTTACAATTTACTTTGGACTATCCAAATGATTTGTTTCTATTTATATTTGTGTACATGATAATTTTTCCTCTATTTACACGGTGTAATTTAAAAATCAAGCTGTTTGTGTTGCCAGAAATATTGTGTCCACAGTCAATTTGGACTGTAAGTTGGACCTCAAAACAATTGCACTACAAGCTCGTAACGCTGAGTACAATCCCAAGGCAAGTTTCGTTTACTTGTAGTGAGTTTCACTCACAGTTTCTCTCTGTACAGTTGTGGATGTTTACATGTCTTTTTTTTCTGCTTTTGCATCTGAATTACAACAAAGTTTGCTGGTGGCTGTGCAGTCATGTATTATGCTTTGGGAATTCTTTTGTTTTTATCTGGATCAGAGAAGTATGATTAATCTAAGATAGCTATTTTATAGTAATATCCCATGTGATATCTTCCACATGTTAGTATACTTGTGTTATTCAGAATTATTAATTAGCGGATGTACTGTATATGCTTGTTCTAGTTGGTTGGTGATTTACTCTACTGATATTTGTGATTTGTTTGCTTGCAGCGTTTTGCTGCTGTTATTATGAGGATAAGAGAGCCCAAAACAACTGCACTTATTTTTGCTTCTGGCAAGATGGTATACTTCTTTTCTCTACTGCCATGTCTGTCTACGAGATGAGAGTAGTTCATTGTGCTATATTCAGCACTGTCCTCAAGTTAGTTCAATGTTAATTCGTAGTTGTGTGGTTCTCTTGTTCCATTTTAATTGTCTGTTTATCAAATCAATGTACAAACTGGTTCTAGTAATGAGGTTGTAAACACAGTTGCCACTTGTCAGAATTGCATGAATCAATTGGTTCTGTATAGCATTATGAGAGAAAAGGAGAGATGATGCATGGAGCAACCTCAATACCCAATTATTAGTTTATGCAGAATTGTAAATAATGAAGACATTCTATTTCTAAACTTATTTTTACAGTTTTATTTGTTTTTTATTTCAATAATTTAGCGTCAACTTGCAATTTACTATACATTTCAATTACAAATCAGATTGTACGCCTTCTGGTTTGCAATTTTCTTTTCTGGATTCTGTCATTGCTCTACACTTTTATTACAAAACCAAATTAATTTGGTACCTTTCTTGTAAAGGGTTCTCTTTCTTATGGACTCTGATTTATTCTTTTATGATCATCAACTAGGTTTGTACTGGAGCTAAGAGTGAACAACAGTCTAAATTGGCGGCCAGGAAGGTATGTTATTGTTTTATGTTTTTTTTCTCTATCATTCTGTGGGTATTGATGATTTTTTTTTTCAAATTGAACCCCTAACCACTTTGTTGGTAGCTTGTTTTGAAACTGTTCTTGTTTTGAGTAGACTGAGCTCTTAAATAGTTGAAGGAGGCTGGATGTTTTCTCTGAATGTGTTTAATATTGATCTTTTGGTTCCTCTCTTCAGTTAGAATTGCGAAGTTCATTCTGAAAAAGTTACATAATTTTGTTGTTTTCTATTTCCCTCCTTTCAGTATGCTCGAATTATCCAAAAGCTTGGTTTCCCAGCCAAATTTAAGGTATTGCTCTTGCACTTTCTCATAATTTTTGCTGAAATTGTTTTATCCATTGTTATTTTTTCACTTAACTATGTACAGCTTGGTTACTAGTTTATTACTTCGGTATTGTACTTTAGGATTTCAAAATTCAGAACATTGTTGGCTCTTGTGATGTCAAGTTCCCCATACGGCTGGAGGGTCTTGCGTATTCTCATGGTGCTTTCTCAAGTGTAAGTATTTTAACTTTTGGTGAAACACTTTACAGGCTTGGATCGGATCTTTGATATTGACTTTTAAAATAACACTGTTATGTATTTTCACTGTCTTGATGCTTAGCTGTCTCTATCTAAAATAGTTTTGAGGACGTCTTTTTGAATTGTATACTTGATGTGAAAATAGCCTATGGAAAAAATGTATTTTGTTTGAAGCATTATGTTGCAAAGCTGTTTCAATGTTTTGCCTAACACTTCGGATACTTAATGCATTGTTTTGGTATGCATGATTTATTAGTTGTGGGGATTGATTTGACATGATTTGTGAGGGTTGCTTGTATTTGGTTAAGGTGATTTGTGGGGAAAGTTTTGTGAGAATGAAGAGTGAGACGAGGAGAAAGTAGTATATTTGTGGGGATTGTTTGATTAATTACTAATGTGCCCCTACATTGATTTTTTAAATAATTCTATTTATTTGACTTTTCTTTAATTTTTTATAATTATTGGAATTAATATATAATATTTAAGAAATAATTTATTTTCATTTACCCAGTTAATTTCTTTTAACCAAAAAGTTTATATTTTGAAAAATACAGCTACGGACAATTTTGATATTAAACTAAAAACAACTTGCCAATCTTCAAAAATTCAATCAAATCAATCACATACCAATAAACTTTCTACTCAAATCCATTATCTTCCATTAAACCGAACCACCTCACTTTCTATTCCCTTTCTCTTAAAATCACTCCAAATCAATCATCCACAATCCACCACCCAAATCACTCCAATTAAAGGAGGGTAAGGCTTTTTGTTTTCAAAAAATTTAAATAGAGTGAAATGGTTAAACCGGAATAATATTAATATAAATTACTATGCTCGTGTGATAAAGTAACTTGAGGAAGTATAAATTGTGGAAAGGGGCATCTTCTGTTAAGTTTTGAAGTGGAGGAAACTGATGTGGTTATTTGCTGATACTTTGCTTGTTTCTGGTGGTAGTATGAACCAGAGCTGTTTCCAGGTCTAATCTACCGTATGAAGCAACCTAAAATAGTGTTGCTTATATTTGTCTCTGGAAAAATTGTTCTAACAGGAGCTAAGGTAATTTTTTTGCTTTACAATTTCCCATTGTAATTGCCCTCCACGCCCGCCCTCTTTTTTGTGCTGGATTTTAGCTGTTTTCATTTCCATTTTCAGGTGAGAGATGAGACGTACACTGCCTTTGAAAACATATATCCTGTACTTACTGAATTCAGGAAAAACCAACAATGGTACGAATTTGTCTTTATATATTTAATTTTTTCTTTACATACAAGTGTAATTTCAACGATTTCCATAAGGGTGGCTATCTTATGTTTAGCCATCAGATTTATGAATGCGTTAGATTTAGATCTGGTAAGGTTGTACTTTTTGTGAGTAGTGATACTTGATGCATTCGTAAATGAATTGATCTTTTGCTACTTTTGAACTCCGTTTCTGGCTATAAAACTATTTGACATGTTTATGGCAGATTTGTCAAGAAAGAGCAGGAGCAGCGGGTCTTGCAGAGAAGTTCGTGGAACTGTAAATACTAAGACAAAGGAGATGATATCTAGATTGATATAAATTAAAGACAGCCGTTTGTGTTGCCTTGTATCTGTTTTTTGATTGATCTTCTTTCTTGATGTAGTAAAGTGCCAGACATTGTTCTATTGATTTAAAATTTAAAAAGATGATTGAGTCAGAAATTAGAAAAAAAAAATGGAGAGCAAAATGCAGTAGTAGCACATTCAGTCCTGACATTTCAATCTGTTTTGATAACTGTTTCTACTAATTATCCTTAGTTAGTACTGGACATTTTGATCAACAAATCTAATATTTTGATGATGGTACTACTTGAATTCAGTATTTTGGACATGGATTTGGTTCCATAATGTGTAGTTCTCAAGAGAATAAAGTTAAACTTGTTCATTAGAAGACCAATGGCTAAAAACTATAATACAATCTTAGATTTAGTCTATGGTTATTGTAGCATATCTTGAACAGTGCATTATTCACTTCATTTGGCATTTTATATAGGTTGCATGACTAAGATAAATCCTATTAACATGTACACATCATTTCTGATATTATATATTAGTTCTGGTAACCTACTTTTGATCTTACATGAATGCCAAAACTTTTACGTGGTTAAACAAAATATATTGGATAAAAAATACTTTAACCAAATTTCTTACAATAAATACTAAAAAGTTCAACAATAAGTTTTAGATCTCCACTAGCAAAAGGGGATTAATATAACTTAACTTAAAATTTTAAAATATTTAAAAAACTAGTAATTTCTAATGCTTAAAAAAAATACCATATTCAATATTAAAAAATTTCTTCAATTATTGAATATCTAATAACATATCTAAACAAAAGTGTAAAATAAACAATACGCACATAAGCTATGATTCTGCTCATTATAATAGTGATACTCAATTTTCTTTTTGCTTATTTAATTAATATGCAATTTAAATGTTCTTTAAAAAATAGAAGCATGATTCTAATAGTTTAAATGAATAACTAAATGTATTAGGATAAATCCAATATTGATTATCTCATAACAAAGTAAAATTATTATCTAAGACGTTTTATATATCCACGACACTAGTAAAAAGAAAAATAATTAGTAACTTAATATTTTGTATTAAATGAAAGAAAAAACTTGACCATATTTTAACCAAACCACACATTTGTATTAAAGTTATCAAATCAATATTTCACCTTTTATCTAAAAAGTAAAATCATGAAATAATATTGTTTTTTCAAAAATATAATTATGAATTGAAGAGTTGGATTGTGTTTTTAATTTCTTGCTTGACACTTTTCTTGCAAATATCATCTGATGATAAATGATATTTGGAATCTAATTTTATATATTAAGTAATTAGTTGATCATAATTGTATAGTTCTGTTTGATGATATGCAAAAGATTGGTTTATGTTTTTATGAGAAGAGACTCCAAATAAGACAAAAAAAAATTCTTGGTGATGCTAAAATAATATGCTATCAATTTTAGAAATATGGAAAGACTTTCATTTATACATGTTACTAGATTATTATTAATGAATTATAGAATATTGGAATGATTTTGATTTATTTATGTTTTTCATGACACACTTGAACATTGTTTTTTAATTGTACTAACTGTCAAGGCAAATAATACTTGCTTAATATATAGTTTAATTCAATTCTATTTCCTCTTGTCTACACTTGCTTAGTTCACTTATATGATATAAGGTTTTTGAAATATATTACATTAAAAATTAATTGTAAAATATATTTTCTAAAAATTATAAAAGTTACTCTTTGAAATTATATATGATTTTTGTTAAAACATTTGGTGACTATATCATTAACCGACCTTAGCTTAGTTGGTAGAGTGGAGGACTGTAGTTGTGATAAACAGATATCCTTAGGTCGCTGGTTCGAATCTGGTAGGTCGGATTTTATAATTGTTTACTTTTTACAGTTAAATAATTTTCTTTTATAAATTTTAGTACAGATAAACAGTAAACTGAACTCATTAAGAACCTAATTTCACCAAATCAAACATAAAAAACAACCACAGCTCATTATTAATTTTACAATCTAGTTCAAAACATAAACAAACTTATTATTAATTAAGATAAAAAATTAATGAAAAAATATTTTAAATTAACATAATCAAATTATTTATAGGCATATAAGTTAGTCAAGTAATATATTTTTTATTTTCATCCAAACAATTTTTAAAAGATAAAAGCATATGAAAATTATTTGTAACTAAATACAATAAAACTATGACATAAATATGTTTTGGTTATTAAAAAATTTATAAATTTTACATTTAGTGTCTAATAATTATTTTTCAAATTTTTCATCCTAACTTTTTTATTTTTTATTTTTATTTTTATCAGGTCTCCCCGAGATACATTTTATTAACCTGACAAGTCCCATATGATACAAAACATACAAGATATTATGGTAAATAAAATTTAAGGAAAAAATATAAAATTATTTGATAAACTCTTGAAAATCTTATAATGGTAAATAAGTTATAAATAAATATATTTTTAGAAGCCAAATAAAGAAATTATAAATACTTCAACGATAAATGTCACGCCCCATTTAATGTCTCTGTGTTTCATTAATGCACCCACGCCCCTCCACGTGCTGTGCCATTAATGTGCACTTTCATTCTCTGATTATCTCTGACATGTGTCACATCGGAAGGTTCTGCACTCAATTCTGGAAGCCAGGTGTCAGCACAGGAAGGAACGTCCGTATGAATTGGTAAGAGAATTAAATTCCTCTGAACAACTCTTCCCCTCCTCTGCGTACACCTTCCTCTTCCCCCGAAATTCAAAATCTCCATTTTTCTCCTCCTTCTCTCTAAAACCTTTCTTCTTCTCTCTTCTGTAACTCACCATCCTTTGCTCCGTTCACGTTTCAGCACCGTGAGAAGCCTCCCTGCACCGTGAGCTTTCCATCAAACCGAACAGTTTTGGATTCTGAAACGGGTAAGTTTCACGTCCTTAACTGCTCTTCATTTATCCCCATGCAAGCCTCGTTTTGAACTGCATGCACTTTCTCTGAACCCGTGTTGGTTTGCTGAAATTTTAGTTTAAGGAGTTTGGGTTGAAACGTAAAGGGTAGGAAAGTTTATTACTGGGATCTGGTTGTCCTTTTGAAGACGAACGCGCAATCCGGGTAAGGGAAGCTTTAGTAATTTAATTTAATTACTTGTTTGATTGTGTATGAAAGCACATGAGTGTATGGATGTCTGAAATGCATGAAATATTTGATGTTTAAGTATGCCATGAACGGAGCATGGTCACTGGATGTATATGATGAATATTGGTTTGGAACTGTATGTGAGAATGAAACGTATGATTCGGAGTAATGATTCACTTTACTGTATGGTTGGTATGATAATATGAATTTTGTAATGTATGAGATTTATGGTGGAGAGAAATTATAAGTTATGAATAATATGAAAACTGTAAAGTTATTGTAAAATGATAAATCTGGAAATTTTCATTTCTCTACTTTTCTTTTTCTTGATAATGTACGTCGTCATCGAACGGTCTTATACCGATCGGTTCCCTTGAAGAACTCAGAATGAAATCTTTCATTGGAAAGGATTCTGATTAAGAACGAGCTCCTTTGTGGAAGGGTTAGGTTTGAGTTCGGCTCAGCCTAAACGTGTCCAACGATTGAAATAAATTGAAGTATTTTAGTAACGCTCGGTTTAATTCCAGCGTTCGTCAAGGTAGGTGCTTAGTCTTATACGGAAGCGTTCGTCCAAATAGCTCCGGTCTTAGATGAGGTTCGTCCTATTAGCGTTCGGTCTAATACCGAAGTCTTCGTTGCTAAATAGTGTTCGGAGTTCTAATTTAGTGCTACGGTCATTACCTAGCGTTCGGCCAAAGCAGAGTTCGGTTTTATAACTGAAACGCTAGTCAAATGAAGTATGTGGTAAAGAAACGCTCGGTCTATACCAGAAGTTCGTTCATTTCAAATTATCAAGAGCGGTAATAGCGTTCGTCCCAAATTTGAAAAGCGTGTCGTCTACTATATAAATAGAGTTCGTCCAATAGTTCTATTGACGTTCGTCCAAGTCCTCAGTGACGTTCGTCCAAGATTTATTAAAAGCTTATTTTCGCGCCGTCATTGACTGACCAGTTGTCTCACTGGATAAAATCTGTCTAGTTTATTTATCTAAACAACTTGAAATTTCCCCTATCCATTGGATTCGTTCAATGTTACTGACCTTAGATTTTTCTAAGTATTATTTGGATCGTACTGCATCAGTTCATTTAATGATTCGATGGAGTCTTCTGGTATGGGGAAAGCCTGAAGGCGTAGGAAGGGGAGTGAAGGAGTGTCTTTTATGCAAGTGGAATAGAGTGAAAATGTATTAGAGGAAGAATTAAGAGTGCGAACACTATACAGAGTTGAAATTATGATTATAGGATTTTGAACGAGCGTTCCAGGGAGGAACGACTCTTGGTTGGAAATGAGATTGCGGAAGATATGAACGTGGTAAGCTTAGATGGTGGTTCATCTGATATTCCTGAGTGTCGTTCTCAAGTAGAGAGGAGTATGTCATAAGTGGGAATGGCAGGAGGTCTAGTCCATAAACTGTAACTTGGACAGGAAAAGACTAACCTCAGGTGGCTACTGATGAGCATTCCAGTTACCCCACCTGAGTGCACGGACGCCTTAGCTACACAGGTTTCATACAGTCCGGACGGTCGGTCTAGCATCAGGGTTTGGATGGAATTATTGTATGAATGAAATGTACATGTTTGTGAATTTACTTGCTGTATTTGATAAGTATGAATATTGTTTTACTTAAATTATAATTCAATAAGCTTACCCTTGCACTTTCCTTGCGTTGTCGGTATATGTGTATCCGTCTTGTCCTGCCATGATCATCCGTGTGGATGTGAGCAGAAGGTGAAATTCCCTGGAGCAAACACTGAAGAAGAAGTCCTAGCTGAGGAGAATCTCGTTGAAGTGGAATTGAAGCCGAGCAGTTAAAGACGTTCGGTTTTCAGTTAGTATATTAGGCTAGCGAGCGGCTCGTGAGCGAGCGCTCTTTTGGGGATTGAAATAGTTGAACGTTCGGCCATATTTTGTAAAACCGTTCGTTCTATCTTTTGTGAACGCTCGTTATTTTTGTGTGTATATGTAAGGCCGTTCGGCCATTTTTGCACCACTGCTCTCTTTAATTGTAAAACTGCTATATAATATTAATACAGTTAATATTCTATATATAGTTGCTGGACTGTAATTTGGGATGTTACAATAAAGAAATGAAGAAAAATTATATTCGAAACTAGATTCAAAATATATAATTTTTTCAAAACTAAAAACATATTTAAATATAGAATTTTATTAAATTAAATCATAACATCATTATTTAATATAGACAATTAAAATAA